CCCGGGTTCATCGGATCCTGGTGGTTGAGGAGTGCGTCGTGCGGGTCAGCCACGGCGCGTCCCATCACTCCACTTGGACCAGGATATTCGGGGGCGTGGGGGGCCCGTGAGTCCCATACGGGTCTAGCGACTTGTCGCTTGCGCTGCGGTTGAGTGCTCCGCGCGGGTCTCCGCTTGGGGCGCCTGGCGCGCGCAGCGGCTGAAGTGGTTAAGGGGCGGCGGTGCTGGACCACCGTCAGGACGGGGAGGGGTCACCTGGTTACACCTGGTTACACCTCCCCGGTTACACCTGGCCGTGTGGGAGGTATCGTTCGCCCCGTATAGCACCGGGGTAGCCCTGGCGGCGACCACCTCCCGATGGAGCGTTGGGCTGTTCCCCAGTTGGGCTCCGTGGTGGGTGGGGAGCCTCGGTGACGAAATGAAAACCACCCTTTTATGGCATCTTCTCGCCTTAAAAATGCCTCGATAAACCCAGGGTGCAGAGGAGGATCTGCGCTCCCCGGTCCACGGATCCTCATCGTCGAAAGTGATGAGATTAAGCTGGCTTCCCTCTCACCGTTTCAAAGGCGGAACGGCTGCGACAGATTTGGGAAAATTATTAGATGCGACAAGCTCAGGGATGAAAAATTGAGGTGCAGTTCGCTAGTGGTCGTGCGGCTCTTCTTGCAAGCGTTTATGGACACAATGCATCACACACCGCATTACGCATTGTGACCGGAGCGTATAAAACATCGCCAATATCTAGTATTGCAGTGGAAGCAAATGAATCGCCATTATCTCTCAGGAGAGAAATGCTGGAATGCGGTACACTTCCGAGCTGGCAGTTTTCAAACCACCCGACCCACCGAGCGTTTTTTTTTCACCCACGCATTGAACACATGTTTCAAACGGCCGAAGGCCTTACGGTTTATCTTTCGGCGTGCAAATGAAGGACTTGTTCCGTGACAGCGATATTCAGTTTGCATGGCATACTAAGGTTCCGCTGCGTTTTGGTACTCCCGTGAGAGCTAAGCCAAAGGTGGATGCCTCGCTGTCATGCACCAGCGAAGAGCGCGAGATCCCAGCTGACCTTAAGTTCGGGCCTTGGAGCGCGTCGCCTTGCACATAGACTTTCAGACTACATAGACAGACGGCTCGGAAACGGGCACGGCAGTAAACTCTGCGTTTGTGAACGGCCCAAGCCCCCGGTCGTCTCGTGCCAAAAAAATGCCCCCGCGTATACGTCCGAGCTCGTTGCTATAAACAAGGCCCTCGGTTTCATGAAAGGTGGTGAAAACAATTTTTACCCGATACCCTCTGACTCTTTGAGCAGCTTATTTGCTTTGATAGCCTTTAACTCGCCGTGTTCCATCATACAGGACATTTTGATTCCCCTGCCAGGGCCCGGATCGTGCGGGTTAACGCTGTCTTCCTCATGTTGGATATCCGGCCAAGTGGGCATCGCGGGTAATGAGCTGACCGACGCGCGGCAAACCGAGAAGCACATGCACCTTGCACCCCGCACTTTGCCCCTGCCGACCAGAACTTTTACCCTGCCATTACGACATTATTATAGGACAATGGCAACGTATGTGGGACATCGCAGTGAACAGTAAGCTGAACCATCAAGCCACAGTTAGCCTTTGGCCGTCGGGAAGCTCACGCGATGCGAGTCGAGAAAAGGAGTCCTTTGCCGAATACACATTGGTCATACCCACGCGTCGCATTCTATCTTCTACATGGTGATGACGCCTCAGCCTCCTCGCCGCGATGCGCCACTTACAGCTCACCACATCATTTACCTATGCCCAGTTTTAAGTGAAGAGTGGTCACGCTATTTTGGGCGAGATGCTCCAGTGCTTGCCTATTCAGACATCTTTGGTGACGATCCTCGCATTCTTGCCACGACTCAACTGTTTTCATTTTTGGCTAATATAGGATTTTTAGCTATTCACACACCTATGCAATCACTTAGCTGCTATGGGCGCAAAATGACCTTATTAGTCGGCGCGCCCTAAAACCGCGATCAACAACAACAAAGGTTAGAAAGCATCGTGCCGCGCATTACGGCAAGTTCAAAGTTGTCCCAAAATTCTGACGTTGACCTGGTACTTTACGATCGGATGGTGGGGTCAGGCCTTACGCAATAAGCACTTGCTTAGCGTGGGCTCTGATACCAGAAATCCATCCAAAAAGGTTTGAACGAAACATGTGCATGCATACACACACACACACACACACACACACACACACACACACACCACACACCACACAACACACACACACCACACACACACACACACCCACACCCACACACACACACACACCACACACACACACACACACACACAACCACACACACACCACACACACACACACACACACCCACACACAACACACACACACACACACCACACACACCCACACACACACCACACACAACACACACACACCACACACACACACACAACACACCACACACACCACACACACACCACACACACCACACACACACACACACACACACACATATATATATATATATATATATATATATATATATATATATATATTATATACATATATATTTATATTTATACATGTATATATGAAGTATCTGGTGCACAACGTCTAGGTTCATTAGGTTGGGTTCAGATGCCAGCTGATAGGAGAGGCTTTGCTCAGTCAAACGTCGTGGAATTTCTTGGTTAGGTCCTTCCGCGATCTCCATTGCGCTGCAATCGCAAATAGCATGTGGTAGCTACGTGCGTAATAAGCTACTGCCCATTTGCATTGCTTGGGAAATTGTTCATGTAATTTTGTAACATTTCAGTATGCAGTATTCTTATCGTAAGATCTTTGAGAAGCTTGTATTGACCTTTCACACTGTGGGAAGTAGTTCAAATCACGTTTTGTTTGGTCTGTTTAGCAACAAATCTATATCGGGTGTGGAGTATTGGGTATTGGGTCTGCTATATGGGTGTGGAGATTAAAGCTGGTGCGGTGTTAAAGCTGGCGTTGAAGCTGGATCCAAAATAGACCAACATTTTCTCACCGTGACGTCGCCCAAGACCATGTAGTCTAATCTAGTCATTTCATGACTTCCTGTGACCTTGAGCGTGGACAACCATACCCTACCTACCTTCATAGACCACGGAGACATTGGAACACTGCGAATATCTACTAACATCATTTCGGACTGCCGCAATAGACCGCAAGTCTATCTGATCGACAGATAGCCTCGATGTCTTAAGCATGATCTATCTGATCAGTGTTTCGATCACGTAGGTGGGGTCAAATGAGGTCCGAGGGTCCATGCGAATTACGCAGCGTAAGTTTCAAGTCCCCTGGATCATGGAGTCCGTGACTTCGAGTGACCTTTTTCACTAAAAGACATTTTCAGCCACCTCTTTGTCAGAAATCGAATCCAAACTGTTTTGCCATTTAAAAAATGCACCAGTTACCGACAAAAACGAATACAGTAACAAAATCACTGGCCTTCGCCGAGAAAGTTGGCTGACCCCACTGACCCCGCTCTGAGAGGTCACGGGTTAACGTGCCGCGGTCAGCTGATGCGTTATTTCACGCTTCATGCACGTGGGAAAGCTATGGTGTGTTCTGTTTGGCGCAGTGTTGATAATATACTTCTACAACTACATACGTATGATAACTGCAAAGTAGGCACTGTCTTCTGCGTACAAATCCAACTTCGAAATCACTTTCGGAGTCAATCAGTGCGACGATCACGTCCAAGTGCTGAAGATTATTGAAAAGCGCCAAAATATGCATTTTCCGGTTGTCCACTTTATCAACAATTTCGTCAGTGACAACGATGGGATTTACTTCGCCGTGATGCAAGCGTCGGAAATGGCACAGGCGCTGGAGAACACACCTGTTAAGAGACGAAGGACCGAGCACAGTAGGAACGTCAAAAGTCATCTTTTGAGTATAGCGTTGCACAATTTATTAGAAGCATGGTAGGAACAGGGGGAGGGGACACGGGCCAATGGCCGCCGCCTCCACTTTTCAAGGTGGGGGGGCCAGCAATGATAAGTCCCCCCCCCCCCCCCCCCCCATCTTTCAGATTTAAATTGTGTCTAGCTTTTTTGTAATACTAGCATGCATGCCAATTAACCTGCTCACCAGCCATCTTCTTGAAGATGCATCATCTTTTCGTCTTGCCCATTGGCCATCTCTTATTGTCACAGCCGCGAGGCCGACACGCGGCCTATGGAGAATGCAACGCCGGGCGTCGAGGCTGTTGCTAAGATTTGCGAGTATGCGTGCTGAAACCCATGTTATATAATTTTTTCTCAGTAAGCAATCCTGACTGAATGTAAAACATGTTAAGACGAAGATGAGTCAGGCATGTCAATACAAATTTTGGACCCATTTCGATCTACAATCTATGTCAGGGTGTTCTTAATATCCTGAAGAACAGAGAAAAAATCGGAGTCTTTGCGACAGTTATTGGACCACCCGCGATGATCATGGATGTTTTTGCGCCAGAGGGTTCCTACGTTATCTGGCGTCAACTGCGCAGGTCATAAGGCCTCCCGCGAAGGAGAACAAGGTGACGTGGCATCTCTCCAAGCGACTCCGGATCGACCAGGGATCCCGCACCGTGTCACCAGAATGGCAGCCGGAAGACATCCCGTGATGGGGCGGAACTGCACCACAGCCGTTGACCCAGAGCAGCAAGTGCCTAGTGTTCTACTCAAGGGCCCTTGCCCGGAATGAAACAAGGGTCTCCTTATTGTTGAAAGAGTGGGTCGCAACGAGTTGAAAAATGAACAAGGTCATCCCAAGGTCAAGTCAACAAGATCAAGGTCATCCCATGTTTGCCTGAGAACGCTCCTTCTTTTGCGCAATCGATTAGGAAACAAATGACGTCAAAAGCTTTGAGCACGCGCGCCCGCAGTGATTGCAATGACCTGGGTTGCGATGCGACGATTGCGATGATCTGGGTTGCAACTTTCGTAAATGCGAACGGCGTTGGCGACTGCAAGCGACACCAGACGATGGGTGCCGCAGTCAGTCTGTCCGATTTGCAGTCACAGCAACACGAAAAATAAAGATCCTTCCTTTACTCTTCCAGTTCCACCATCAGATTCCAGCGCCTCTTCCCCTTGCTGTAAGGGCCAAACAGATCTGATCATCAGTCTAAGACTCGTACAGGCAAACTCTACGCCCAAACTACCCTCTAAATGTAAGTTTGATGTCCTAAACGTTATAAGGTATTCCTTTCAGAAGCGTCATCATTTTGTCCACCCGTTGGCTATGGCCTAATGTAAGCCGCAGGGCAGACACTGTGCGGCCTATCGAGGCTGTATGCAACACGAAAAATAAAGAATACGTACGAAGAAGAATAAAGAATAACAGCACTAAATAATTTTGTTGCCAAGATTTACGAGCGCGCATGTTCAAAGCTACGTTGCATAATTTGTACCGCGAATCGGTTCTGACTGAATGCCAAGCATTCCAGACAAACATGGCTAGGTCGTGTTAATACACTTTTTACACATGTCGATTTGCAATCTACCATCACAGTGCTTGATATTGCTGTAGAACCCATATAAAAATCTGACATGGCTTCTCAATTTTATCGAGAAAGTCCACTAAATCATTGTAAATTAAGAGCGTCGGTGATTTATTCAATGCAGTCGTTCAACGGCTGAATTCTGCAGCTCATTGGCCTCAAAATACAAGCAGAATAGATCTCGCGAAAGCTTCTGGCTTCTGTTGCTTTTCTAGTTACAAGGCAAAAATAGCAATGCTACAAAGATAACCTTGCTCCTTGTTAACAGCTAAGCTATATCTGGCGATCTTTTTGGGAGGTCACCGCCAGGAGGCTTTTGTCAACCTTGTGCCTCTCACCTTTGGCAAGGCTACATCCCTGTCTACATTCAAAAGTAGATCGAGCTGGCTACGTTGAATGAGGGACAATGGAATATCCGTTGGACCGTTCAGGGCTAAAGCAGGCAGCTTCCCGAAAGCTTTTTTCTGTGGTGATGTGGTGAATGGCAAAATAATTCGGTAAAAAGGCACTGCTGCAGGTGCCCAATATATGTTTTGCACACCATTAAGTGGTAATGCTGATCCATAAACTTGCAGCAAAGCAGCTATACGATCACTTCCCAGTTAGCCCTGGGGGGGGGGGGGGGGGC